GACCTATGGGTATACCATAAAAAAAGAAAATCAAGTCCTCAAAATTAATGACACTTATAGAGCGTTAACCACCACACTAAATTTACCAACAGAATGACAATGCTAATAAACTTCTCTTTGTGCAACTCCTATTCAAACATTAATTTGGTTACTTTACCTTCGAAAGGGATGGAGACTGATTAACGACACCCTATCTCTTTAACATATCAGTCTCCGTCATATAAATCAATACGAATTATACCTTCTTTGGACATAATTTTATTTGAAAGCCTTTTCTACTTAAAAAGTTTCTTTGTATTTTCTGTCTTTCTCCTTGTTACCACCTGGTGAGATGGTTAAAAAGAAACAAATATAAAATCTCCAATCTTAGCCGGTGTTTTTTTTTGTACAGAGACAGGAAGCGGTGCCAATTAGCTGCCATGTTGTTAATGATTGCCGCAACTATTCGTGTATTATCCTGGTAATTGTATATTCAAATGAAAATCTAGACTTTGTTTAACAAAATTGAATTATTTGCTGTTAGGTAACAATTCGCTTTAAATTAGATTTTTCAAGCCATTCCACTGGTAGTATTTATATAGGGTATTTTTCCATGACAAAATCGGTTGAGTAGTTTAGGCACAAAATAAAAAAAAACAAATGAACACTTGATTGACACTAAATGAATTATTTTCAATAATTAATATTTTCATTAGAATATTATTATTACAACAAGCGTTAATATCATCAGGTACAAATAGACGAATTTTACAAACGATAACTTCATATTATTTAGCTCAAATCTAATTTCTAAGTATTTTCCTCTACGATTTTATTATGAGGATTGAGGATACGATTATGAGGAAGGAGGAATATTTGCATCAAATTAATAACACAAAATTGAAATATATTGGACGTGATAAGGTTTTCATAATGAAGACAGTACCGTAAAGAACACTGGGCTGCCCATCCCACCCTACCCATACTTCAAGTCATATTTTAACGCATACTCTTCGGACTTAGTTTCGCTGAAGAAAAAAAATTACAAAGCTTGCAAACTACAAAAGACAAGTCAATAATTATGTCCGTAGACATTATAGCCAAATAGAGGGCTATAAATCACATATTAAATGATTTAGGACTGTCTGGGTTGCAAAGGTAACTTAAAAGTGTTCCAAAATAGTATAAACCAATGATATCAAGCTTAAATGGTTTGTTTGTCTGATACTTTTTACGAAAAATATTTTGTTGATTAGTTGTTTTTGTAGTGTATGACCTGATCGGAATTATTAGATATCCGGTTATATTCATCATTAAAAAAACCGACTGTATATGATACACTAATAAAGTCAGAATTAATAACCTCTTAAAAGATTTCTGATAAACTCGACGCTATTTGACTAGAAAATTACATGACCACACACATAAAAAGTGACGCTTCTGATGTGTATACGAGGCGTGATTGAGTGTTAAAAAATTACTGAACCTTTACTTTATGAAGCAATACGCTTGTTTGCTACGTCAGATCTAAAAGTTATAAAAACGTTACTCTAAATATCTACAAAACGATTTACATGAAATGTAACTATTCGTTCGTACACTTGGTTACCAAAAAACGAATACAAAAGCTGTACAACATTTCTTTAAATATCTTAAAGATCATGGAAAGCTTCTTTTACAATGGTACACCAATACGGTACTCTTAAGACATTCCTACTTATACAAGACTGCCCAAAAGATGAGTCCCCATAAATATGTATAGGACCTTTCCTTTTATGCATTGGACGGCACCATAAACATAAATAATAATACAAGTAAACCACCTCCTGTCACCATTGTAACAAACTTAAAACATTCAATGATACAAAACCAGTCATTGACAGTCAATTTTATCGATATTTATCACATGAATCGTATTAAAATCGACTACAAAATGTTCTATTCGAAATTCACTCCCAAACAAAAACAAACGAACAACAAATAACCAAACGCCTGATAATTGGTACAGCTACCCTACACGGGGTACGCGTACGGCGTAACCCAGGTAGCAGAACTTAACTCAATAAATACGTCCGTAATCCTTATATTTTTTTTCTGTCGTGTCAGCCACACGGTCCAAAACCTGTTCTTATTTGCACATAGCGCTGTCTCTTTCTTTGTTAGATCCATTTAACCTTTTTGGAGCGAGTTCACACTGTAGCGATTGTATTATCTGAACATTGAATTGAATATTAATTGTATTAAATTTTGTTTTTTAAAGCATAATCGTTAATGTTATCATAATCTTTTTGTTATACTTTGATCTCTGTTGCCGAAATAATGTTAATTCTAACTTAAATCACTTAGTGATGTAAGTGGTTCCGGTAGACAAATTATCGTACTTCTTTCTGGGTTTATATAGGCGCCGCTTTTTTTAACTCCCGAAGCAAAAAATAAATTTTAAAATTAAAAAAAATTAATTCATGGACATTTTTTGTAACTGTGTGTTTGTTTGTAGGCTTATGGCTAAAAGGATAGTCGGCATTGTATTTACTTATTTATTTTAATGTCGTCTTGAACGAGTGTTCTTTTTTAGTTGAAAGAATTTCTGATCGTGGGTATTTGAAAATATTAATGTAGGTATATATATATATATATATATTTTCACTCAGTCTCAACACCCAATCGGAACAAAAACCGCAATACAGACCTAAATCTTAAATCTTGTTTGTTTTGTTTGATAGTTTTCACATGTTGTTTACTTATCAGTTTTGATTGACGAATATACTGCAAAAAAGTTAACCAGGCAAAATTAAAAATAAATAAATAGTTGCTAGTTAATAAACTTCTATCTTCGGTTATTAAAAACGAAAACAAGACGAATGAAAGTAATCAAAGTCATTTTCAGTAGGTATTCTCTCATCAGCTTATCGCCGTCCACTGCTGAACGAAGGCTTCCCCCGTGGAGCACCAACCATTGCGGTCTTAAACAATCGCAATACAGTAGTCTAAATAGCTATCCCATAAGAATTTGTTACCTACATTAATGGATAAAAAATCGATCTATAGTTGTAAATGAAATACCCAAGATACCTGTTACGCACACAGAAGCTCTCAAATTTTACCCGCGGCGGTAATATAATAATAGTTTGCGCATTGCGTAATATAATAGATGAGTTCAGCGTCTTTGCGCAGGTTTCAAATAACTTTTGATATTGACACTGTCGTTGTCATGTGTATTTTATAGTTAGTAATTAGTATAGTACTGTTCACCGCTTTTGGTGTTCGTTTGGAGATGTCGACGCGCCGAATTACAAAGTTCAGCATTTTTACTGATGCTAAACTGAATATTACAACGTCTTGTTATTTGATTCTTACGGTAGCTCCTTTTATGGTTTAGGAGCAGACGAGCGAACGGGTTCACCAGATGCTTAGTGACTACGGCTGCCCTTTGAGTTAGAAATTAGGTTTTTGTCCTTCGGTCATGGCAGTCTGTGATAGTGGTTCGCTTTGCACTTCTCTGACTCACCTAAATGATAGCGATGTCCAACGAGATCGCCAAAACCTTTATTCTTCTATATCTCCATGGTAGTTTTAAATGTTTTTTCCTCACAGCCAGATCGAAAAAAATAGTTTACTTAACAATTGTGGAATTTGTTTTTATAATTTTTAGGAATCGATGAGGTTAGCAACCTGTTAGAGACATCTTTGATGTCCTATTTTTTGTAGACTCTCATCAGATCATAGATCAGGCAACTCATGTGTATTTTAGTCAGTTCGGGTGTGTATAAAAATAGTTTAAAATGTCAAGCAGACTTGGTAAAATCCTTGCTCTAGCTAGCGACCTGTCTCAACTCCTTTAGTCGCAAGTTAAATTACCCGTTTGACATGCATTAATGAATACATTCTCTTTGATAGGTCCATATTGGTGAATGTGTGTGAAACGGTTGTGCATTCCTCCTGCCAACCATTGTTTTAAGCATTCATATAATAACGGTATACGTTAAGGTCCGAGCTCACTAAATATGTTGAGCAGAATTCTAAACAGAAACGTGCACAGGAGAGATGTTATGCTTCTTTTATAATGTATGGTACATTCAAGAAATATTAAGATTGCCATTCTTCTTTTCAACACAATTTTAAAGGTTAAACTCTTTGATACATTTTAAAGGTAATCCATATTATGCAAAGATAAAAACTTAAGAACCAATTTCCCATACGTTTGGCAACTGATTTTCTTTATTTACAGCAAAGACAGTACAGTACTTATCTCTTTTGTTGGTATTGATATTCTTTTTAATGTTTAGAAGGTACAGACGAGCTTTAATGTTATCAATAACAAAATGAAGAATTTGAAATTTCTTATGACATAAGTAGATAGGTAAAGAAAATAAACTACCTTACCTATTTCTTCTTTGCTTGTCAAATGATTTTCTTTTTTCATCGTTTGAGACTTACCTAGTAGTAGTAAAAATGTAGCTTTCTCCGTAAACTTTACTGAGAAAGCTACATGGACTAACTAGCTAACTGGACGTTAGTGTTTTAAAGGTGTGTCGATATATGTGTTTATCCCGAAAATATGTATATACAGTTCTAGTAGGCAAAACATGTTAGAGAATGTCTCTCTCTCTAAAGCTTGTAGCTTAAAGCTAGAATTTGGCTAAATACAACACTACACGATGTTCTAAGATCGATATTCTTAGGGATCAATCACTCTATGCAACTACAGTCTATGTATTTAGATTTACATAACTTTTATTATTTTTATTTAAACTAACCCGTGTACGAGTGCCATAGTGACAATATATCATATGAAAGAAGTGAGGCTATATTTACTACGCTAAAATTTCCTTGCTTTTATTTCCATACCTTACATGTTTTGTTTTGATTTCTGTTTTGTTTACTCTTGCAAAGCTAAAGAGAATTATCGGCCAACGCAAACGATTAATAACCATCACCCGTCAGAATATTATTTTTCTCACAGACAAATATTCTTAATTTGAAATAGACATTAAATAATTTCTTTTTCTTTTTTTTTTCAGATTACTGGACGTTAAGAAAGCACGCGGACGCAGCGTCGAGTGATAAAGAAAATTAGCTAAAATTAAAATAGTCGACTAAAAGTTCAACCTATTGTATAAACTAAGTACTTTTATAAATTATTAAAAATCAATTATCATATATTTGAGCAATGTGTTAAGGCACTTAATGTTCCTTTTGAAAATCGATAATATTATTCTATATTTAATTTAAGAAGTTTTAGTTTTGAAAATTAACAAATTAAAATCGTAATTTTTAAAATGTATTTAAACATTTTTGGATATACAGAGGCTAAATTTTTTTTTCAAAATGATTTTAAACATTTTTAGCTTAGTGCATTTGTGCAGATTCCAAGGGAGTCTAATAGTAAATATTTGTAATTTGGGGTAAAAAAGGTATTTTTTAACTGTACATAATTCCTCAGACAGATTTTGAAGAAGGTATATCCTTTAAGAACTCTCTAAGAAAAAATTATAATTATGTTACGCCAAATATAAATGTAATAGTATGTAGGTCTCCTGAAATAGTATTTCTTCCTGTTTAAATAATAACTTAAATGTTTGTTATTATACCTATGTAGCTGTGTATATTGTCCTATAATTTTAACTAGAAGAAACGTGAATCCATTGGTAACATTATAGTTGTTGTGTTGATATGTAAAAAATTAAACAATATTAATAAAACAATGTAACTAAGGAAGTTACACATTGTTATTACTTTTTCTTCACAAAACTATAAAAAAGAGATAATTTAAAACAAAATGTATTATTGCTAAACATGTATATGTCGATATACGTAGCATTTATTTCCAAAACAGTTTCTATACTTAGTACACGTTTGTTATAGATAAAATTACGAAGGAATTATCAATTTAATCTGTATGGTATTTTTAGACATAAGCTCTTCATTTCGTTTTCTTTTTTTTCAACACACAAGAGGTTAAACAATTTGATATAATGTAGCATGTGCTCGCCGTATTTTAAGGCTTTACAACATGTTGCTGTTCGACACCATAAATATATAGCATTTTAAGCGACTTCAAAAAAAAAAAAAGGAGATTCTCAATTCGTTTGTATTTACAGAAACCTAGTAAGGAACAATATTTACGAAAACCATTATTGCATAATTTGTTGGTGCGACTTTATTTAAGAAAATAGAAAGCGGATAATTATTGAAGTACAAGTGCCTCATCCACGCCCTCTGTAAAAACTTACAATATGTAATATATACATATGCTTAAATGTTGCTATAATTTTATATAACCAATAACGCTTTTTTACTTAATATAAATAGTTTGTATAATGACCGAAGGCTGACCTGTTTTACGATCGTTTTGTAAAATTGATTTTAAGTCCTTACCATAGATAACACGCTATAAACCAGAGAGTCCTTACTAGGCTTTGATATAGACAGCTGATTTATGAATAAATATGAGAATGAAGAAAATTGAGTATGAAAGTTTGCTTTATATCTACTTAAACTGAAAAGTAATAAATAAGATTTATGGTCAAGTGTTGTGACAGTAATTACGTCGCATCTGCATTGTTCTAGGTATAAATATTTTTTACGATGTATTGTTGGTAGACACGGTTATATAATAATTCCATATATGTAATAGATATGTATCATTTTATACATTTTTATTGGCAATACTACCTTATCCATTTTTTTTGGCTCAGACATAGTGTTCTAATTCTTGTGGAACACTTTTTAGTTGATTTGGATAACTAATGTATAAAAAAAAAACTATCAAAAATCGTATCATTTGATTGAGTTTAAGAGGTTTGACTAAAACTCCTCTTAGTATCATTTCAATTTATCTTGTATTATGTAATAAATTCAGTTAAGCTCTTTTATGCCGCCCGATAATGTTACTAATAGCTTCAGAAGTTTTAAATTTATTCTGTTAAATCTAATATATCATTTGAAAATGAGCTATTTGTAACTTTATCAGTCTTTATAAATGAGTATAACTAAATATGTGTTTTTTGAATTTGGAATCAAGTACGAGATGTGTCTGCAATTGATGACCATAACCAATCACTACACTGTAATAAATTATAATAAATAATAAATTAGTACTAATAAGTCAATAGTACTACACTGTTTAAACTTAGTCAGAGCTCAAAAACTTAATAAAAATACATTCCTCTCTTTCTCGCTTTGGCATTTCGATTTGTGTCAAGAAAGATAGAGATAGGTGTTGTTGTGTCTAGTTAGATGCCTAGAAGTAATCTTTGCTAGTAGTTCATGATGTCCTTCACTAACCTGTAGTAAGTCAGTGTTAAAAAAATGAATCACCAGTAAGGATTTATTCGATGGCCAGTGACAAAAGTCTATAAACTCAGTTATGTCATTATGCACTCAGTCTTCGTTTTGTTGTTATTGTCTTTTTTTAAATTAACTATGGATTAACCATTTGTAATCCGTCTTAGTAAGTTGAATTTACCCCAAAAATCTTGTAATAATATTCTATTTTACCCTATTTAAAAAGTCGAAAATGATATATTAAAATCTATATGTAGAATCTAGTCTATGATCTCTGCAATAATTATCTAAAAATAGCCGCTTCCAAGTGGTTTTCGCTTCCTAATAATCTGTCCTTTAGATAAGTAAGTTTGTAATAAAGTTAAATGTTTTTTTATTTAGTGACTAGATGTTACAATTTTAGAACTTTGTGTGCCCAAATAAATTAACTTGATGAAAGAAAGATGTTTTTTATTTTGATTGAATTTCAGTTTCAGTATAGCAGCATTGAATAGATAACATAGAATTACAGGTAATTGATATTAAAAATCTATGATCATATCAACAATAGCGTCGAAATCTGCATAATGAAGTATTACTGGATACTGTTGAGGCATAAGCGGTGTAATGAAAAAAATAATACTGTGTCTTACAATGGGCAAATACTACAGCGCAGAGATGATACTAAAAAAACCTTGACTTAAACTTTAAATTGAATAAAATAATACCATATTTGGTAATCTTTAAAATAACATTAGGGGAGATATTACCGAGTCGTAGGGTAAACTAAAGAAGTATATAACGGGTTAGTAGTAGTAGTAGTGTGATGGTGTATTATTATTTAGGGGCAAACGAACGGTCACCTGATGGTAAGTGACTACCGCCGTCCATAAACACCTAAAACTCAACACAGATGTAACTTATCTAAGATACAAGTATTTGAAATACAGAAACAAGATACAAAATACCCATTTTTATTCCATTTTCTTCCTCCAACTATAGAAAAAACTCATGTTGTTCGAGCGAGCAGCGATTTCAATAAATTGTGCAAGGAGCACTCTTGATCCCTTTTATGTACAAAAGCAATGTTGTGAGCAGTACGCTAAACCTTAAGTTTTTACAATCATAGCATTTTTAGATCGATTGTTATTTATTGTATAGGTGTAGTGTTGTGTTAGTTAGTGTTTCAGAACCTCTGTTAAATTACAATGATTCCATTCGTGAAAACCTGAAATTGGCTTGATGTAGTATATCAATCGGATCATTTCATTTTTGTTGCTGTTGGTTTTCCTAAATTAAGTAAAAAAATAAATTCATCTTGTATCTAAAAAACTTTAAAAGAAAATCATTTTGTATCTTGTATTTAAATACCTTTTGTTTAGTATCTTAGTATTTTGTGTATAGATAGTTTGTAGATACTTATGTTTGTTAAAATACTTTTAGTAATAGATAACTGATTCTATGGTGACATTAATTTTAAATGTTATTACAATTCCATACAAGATCTTTTTGCCGTACAGTGAACAACGAACATGAAAATTAAGTGAATATGTGGACTGTTCAAAGCCAATAGCAGAAGCTATTCAAAGCCTGCAATTGGAAAAAGCCCCTTATAATTGATGCGGTAGTTGCTTACCATCAGGTGACCCGTCTGCTCGTTTGCCCCCTTATACCATAAAAAAAACTTATAATGGGTTTCTGTTTCGATTAAAACCTTAAAAATAAAATATTATGTTGTGTCAAGTTTGCGCGATCAACACGATTTATATGTAAAAAAATAAACTTTCAATAAAAAAAATGTTGATTTTCTACAAAATTATTTTATCTATAATCCATTTCAGAAAGTTATTTGCATCTGGCATTGCTTAATTTAAAAGTATTTTGTATTCCAGATACTTTATTTAAGGTATCTTGTACATCACTGGAACTCAAGAGACACATGTGAGTTGCCGCTTTCTAAGTGTCCTCAGAGCTGGAGGTTGCGCCTCCGGAAAGGCATGTCGCCTTTCCGGAGACAACAGATTCTTAACGCTTAAACTAAAGTTAAATTTAGTATTTAAAACTTTCTCGCTTAAATTTTATAAAAATATTAAACGCTACGTTGCTCATTCATGACTACCGAAACTCAGAATAGCGAAATCAGAAAGATATTGATCTCTTTATTATCAGACAGACAGATTATATTTTACATGAATTATTGAATAGCGGTATGGAGTATAGTAATAGGAGGTGAGGACGATGATTTGTTGTGTCTGGGTGAGATTTATATATAGTATGTAGGTAGGTATGTAATTACTACGTAAGTATGTTTATCAGCAGTCTGGTTACCATGCACAAGCTTTGCCTAGTTTTCATCAGACGGCCGTGAGTTAGATGTCTTAAGTTATAATATATTTTTACTGTCACATTTCTGTCTCGTGTTTATGGAGGAAATGAAGGCGATAAAATCATGACAACCATCGCTTTTTTTATTTAACTCCTCACACGGCCGTCTAATCCCAAACTAGGCAGAGTATTACGTTAACTAGACTGTTGATCATCAACAGCCTTTGATAGTCCACTGCTGGACATAAGCCTCTCCTTAGAAAGGAGGTATAGGGTTTTTGTCAAGTTTTCCTTCTCTCTGTAGTGCTGTTGTTCTGCGTAGTTTTTTCCCTTAGTCGTCTCTTACGACACTCACGGGATGAATAGGGATGGTGACACTGTATTTTTAATCCGTCACCACACGGACAATGACAAGGCTTTTGATAAGCATACCAATCTTTACATAATATAAAATGAATTCGCTTTCCGTTCTTGTACGTTTAGATC